TTTGCCCTTAGTAAAGCCACGTTGGCTACCACCAATCACCTGTGTTCCATGTGCCTTAGCATAGTTTCCAGGAGGATCTGCTCCGTGATCTTACCAGGCACAGAGGTGAGACTGACTGGTCTGTAGTTCCCCAGGTCTTCCCCTTTTCCCTTTTTAAAAATGGGCATCATGTTTCCCCTTTTCCAGTCAGCGGGAAAGTCTGCCATGACTTTTCAGATATGGTGTATAGTGGCTTAGCAACTTCATCTGCCAGTTCCCTCAGGACCCGTGGATGCATCTCATGAGGTCCGTGGACTTGTGAACTGATGTTCTCCTACAGTGAGCAGTTCCTCATTCTCCCAGTCCCTGCCTTTGCCTTCTGCATCTTGGATGGTGTGGTTTGAGCACTCACCGGTGAAGACTGAGGCAAAAAAGTCATTGAGTACCTCAGTCTTCTCCATATCCCAGGTGACCAGGTCTCCCATTACCTTCTGGAGGGGGTCCACATTTTCCCTGGTCTTCCTTTTATCACTGACATACCTATAGAATCTTTTCTTCTTGCCCTTGACATCCCTGGCCATTGATTCTGCAAGGGCTTTAAGCTTTCCTAATCTGCTCAGACAATTTCTCTGTATTCCTGCCAGGCTACTTGTCCTTGCTTCCACCATCTGTAGGCTTCCTTTTTGTGTTTGAGTTTGTCCAGGAGCTCCTTGTTCATCCCATGCAGGCCTCCTAGCATTTTTGCTTCACTTCCTCTTTGTTGGGATGCATTGTTCTTGAGGTTGGAGGAGGTGATCCCTGAATATTAACCAGCTTTCTTGGGCCCCTCTTCCCTCCAGGGCTTTATCCCATGGTGCTCTACCAAGCAGATCCCTGAAGAGGCCAAATTCCAGGGTACTGAGCTTGCTGTGTGCCCTCCTTGGTGCCCTAAGGATCTTGAACTCCACCACTTCATGGTCACTGCAGGCAAGGCTACCCTGGAGCTTCCACTTTCCCCACCGGCCTTGTTGGTGACAACAAGGTCCAGCATAGCACCTCTTCTCCCAGATTGCTTGTGCCCTGATGTGTTGTCCCTCCAACAGATAGCGGAGCGGTTGAAGTCTTCCATAAGGACCAGGGCTTGTGAATGTGAGGCTGCTCCTATCTGTCTGTAGAGGCCCTCATCTGCTTAGTCTTCCTGGTCAGGTGGCCTGTAGCAGACCTCTGCTATAATGTCACCTGTCCCTGCCCTCCCTTTAATCCTGACCCATAAGCTCTAGTCAGTTCCTCATCCATCCCAGCTGGAGCTCCATGCATTCCAGCTGGTCATTGACATAGAGGGCAACACCCCCTCCCTGTCTCCCCTGCCTGTCCTTCCTAAAGAGCCTGTATCCTTCCATTCCAACACTCCAGTCATAGGAGCTATTCTCTGTGATGCTGGTAAGATCACAGCCCTGCAGGTGTGTGCATGTCTCTTAACTTCTCATTTACTCCCCATGCTATGTGCATTTGCATAGAGCCATTTAAGTTGGGCGCCAGATGAAGCTGACTTACTGGCTGGAATTCCTTTCTGCTGCTCTTCAGGTGCTCTCCTGCTGACCTGTGATCCTTCTTCAGGCTCTGGGCATCTATTGTTGGCACTGGCACCAAACTGGTAGGAGTGGGATGGATTGAGGTTCCCTCCAATAGCAACCTTAGTTTAAAGCAACAGCCTGAAGTAAGGCTTTCATTCAATTCTCTTTGGTTTAGCTGCACTCATATGCAGCTCCTTATCTTTGAAATTCTAATCAAAAGAGTGCTTTTAAACCATCTCCTGCTACTTGAGGGCTGTAGCCTGGAGAAGAGAACTTTGTGGCTGTAAAGCAATCAATGACTTACATTCAGCTATGCATGTAGCTGTTTTCTGGAGGGACAGACAAAACATATTAATATATCTTTTAGTAACTCAAGTTAATTTACTGAATTGCTAATATGCCTCTTGTTTCATTGTCACACAATGTATATGAAAGCATATCTGAATGTAAATTGTTACTGAAAAGTACTGACGTGCAGCAGACTATTAGATGATGTTTTGTGATGCCAGTAGTCATAAGCAGGAGAGGAAATCAAAATACAGTTACTCCATCCTTTTTCCCAAGCATTGTGTGTTTAATAAGGTTTTTAGATTCTACTTTTTAAGAGGTTGCTGCCTCACTTTCTGAAGGCTACCATTTATGAAAACATGCACTTCCATAAAGAAATTGCTGTGAAATGCTTTCTGAATTGAGCAGGCGGAACAGTGTGCAGTGACAGTGCTTTTTAATGTACAGACCTTAGAGTAGACATCCAGCTTTGAAACCACTTTTCCAAGTAGAAGCGTATCTTGAACACAAAGTGTCGGAGGACTCTTTCATGCCATTACACATCTATGGACAAATGATAAATAATGCATAATAGAAAAAACTTACACATACTATTAATTTGAAGCAACAAACAGATCAGGGAAAAGATATGAGATTAAAAGCAAGAACTTTAAAAGTAGGTAAAGGTAATACTGTTTCTTGCCATGCAGAGTTAGCTAGCAGAACTAATTGACATACATATCGGTAAGGTAGGGTGGTAGGATCAGGTGTTAGGATTAGGTTAAAGAGTAAAGCTTGCTGTGAGCTCTTAAAGCTACCAGCATCACTAAGCAAGGCTTCAGCTTTCTCTAATTTTCTGCTTTTCATATGCAAAACATTGGTGCAAGTAAACTTTTAGCTGCACAGAGCACATAATACAGTGCTTGATCTCAGACATAGAGGTGTCAGAAAGAACAGGTTTAAATTTTAAATGTCCTGAATGTGCTACCTTAGAGAGTAAGTAATCTGAGGATCCAGGTGCTCAGTTTGACATCTGACACTGCCATTAATTTATTTAGCTGCTTTGAAAGGCAACTTATTAAAAAGTGGTCTCCTTTTTCTTGCCTCAATCACCATATCATCTGAATTCCAAGCATGCATTTAGATTTATGCAGTTTGGGATAAACAAGCACTAGCAGAAGGCTGCTGAGTAATATGTCAAGTATTAAGCTTTCTGGCTGAAAACTGTGTAGAATGAGCATATAGAGGTGATCACTTTAGCTCAGACCCTCTTAGAGGTACTTCAGTCATCCTATTACAGCATTGTCTCCAGAATTTACAAGAAAGTAAAGTGTGGGCTAGCTGCAACTCAGAAATGTTGAATCTCAAGATCTCTCAGCCTTTGTATCTCTTAGAGCACGCATTCAGCTGTATTGTAATGTTTCAAACTCATTGCAAGTGCAGGGTGTTCAAAACCAGGTAGCGTACAATACCTAAAGAGCAGAGAAACATCCAAGACCTGAATCAATACACTTACAAAATGGAGTTTAAGTGGAACTAATGCCATGTGGGAAGGAGAGAGTAACAGATGGGAAAATAACAATTAATTACATTTAATTTAAAAAATCTGTTAACAAATGTAAAGATGATTAAGGGTGATCTTGCATAAAACCACTGTAAAATGTAATCGAACAACTGCTCTTTTCGAGAACTCTGAGACACTGAGGCTTAGGGGTGTGTATGTTAGGCACAGGAAAAGAAAAAGGTCAGGGTTTGGTAGCAAGGTAGTATGGGTGAAAATTATTATTTAGAGTTGAAGGTTTCTACCTGATAATTCTCTCCTTCATTGAGCCATGCTGATGAAAGGAATATTGCATTATGTAATTGAGCAGCAACAAAAGATCCCTCAAAGGGAATGAACCTTGAGTGCAGTTACCGAAAATAAATTTGAAATCATTTTACCTTGACATGCTAATATTCCCCTTAAGAGTTACCATGTCTGGCCATCCTAACAGCTTGTGGGCTCCCATTTTTTAGTGGTGTTACTAAAAGAGCACTCAAGACAGGGGCGGCGGCACAACACACAGCAGTTTCCAGTGGGAATGACTTTGACTTTTTGTACGGAGGAAATAAAGGAGATAACTTGACTTTCACATCTATCTTTTTTTTATGACAGTGTACTGGCTTGATATTTATAGAATAACAGCAAATTAGAGATTTAAAAAATATTCTTGACATGAGGAGTGTCCTTAGTGGTATAAAGGCCTATAAGAATCAGCTTTGTAGCTGTTGTCCTCAGTTGTGCTATACTGGGCATACTGGGCAACAGCAGGGACTTGTGTATCTCATTTATTTGGTGGCCGCAATAAGATCCTTTACCGTATAAGAGTTCTGTGTAAGTGCAGCAGTTTTGCCACATTTTCATTTAGAAGGCAACTTCAAAAATATACAGATAGCAACTATTGTAGGCATTTTCTAAATTCCCTCAGTCACTCTACTTCATGACCCCTTCTCTAGTATACAAGATCCCTTTGGCAGAAACAGAGCAAATAAAGGCCATGCTCTTGTATTGTGTCCAGACAGTTTAATTCTGCTTCTCTATTCCAGCATTGTGGTCATACTCAGAAGGGTAGCATGTATATGTAAGGACATCGGTATATTAAAACTAAAAGCTTTCTGCACAGATTGAATAAAAGGTTGTAATTTTTTTATATAAGTACATGTGCAAGCTTAGCGGTCATCTCATTCTTACCTGTTAGATATGTAAAACTTGTATTATAGTTTGAGTTCACTGACATGAGAAATTAGGCCCTGTCAGTATATTACTCCATAATTATCATTGAGTTCTATGTTCAGTGACTTCATTTTAAATCTAGAAATGGTAAGTTTACTTTTTTTTAAAAGGCAAGTATTTGATCATGTACCTTGTTTATAGCTCCAGAGCTGGCTTGGGAAGGGGTAGGATCTAACCTGAGATAGAAACGTGGATTTTAAAATGTATTAATATGTATGATAGCTTAAAGAACCTACTTCATGTTGTAAAATGAGAAAAGGAAAAATGAAACCTATTTATTAATAGCCTTTCAGATGGGTGCAAAGTTTTGAAGATTAGTGTATTCATCATAATGTCATATTGTACAGAGTCATTTAATTCCATAGGGTAAGAGTTGGGCCATAGAAATCAAGTAAATCTCTCTAATATTTTTCTGTCATTCCCACCAGGTTTCCAGAATAAAAATAGGGTTGCAATCCTGGCAGAACTAGACAAGGAGAAGAGAAAGTTACTTATGCAAAACCAGTCTTCCACAAATCACCCTGGAGCCAGGTATTTTATGTTCTTAGACCTGTTTGGACATCACTGATTACATCAAAGGAAAAAAAAAAGCAAGTGAGCTGTAAACTTACATAAACACTTAACAGAAATGTTTCCCGACCATCTTCAATAACCAGTCAGAGAGACCTTGCACTTTAGGAACATATTAGTATTTAAAATTGTTTACAGACCCTGAATTTTGGCTTATATAACTTGCATTAGAGAAGGGGAGAAGCAGATGCACTTACTCAACTGTATTAAAGTCAACCTCAAAAGAAGAATCAGGTAGCAGGCACTGAGAAAGCATTTAATTATTAAGCTGAAATGCCCTAAGGAATGGAAGTAGCAGACCATTAGGTTCAGGGTACTGTGTGTTTAGAGAAGAACAACAGCAACGAGTGAGTTATCCTTGAAACTCCCTGTGTGCAAGACAAAGCCCCTTTATGTAATTGCAGATCTTCTTGTACAAGATACTGTGGTGTAAGGATGATTCTACACCATAAGGTGTGATAATCTAATCTGAGTTTGGGAGCTGTCACCAGGATTTCTCCCATTTAAGACAAAAAGATTAGATTTCTGTCATAAATCAGTAACTAGAAAATCACACACTGGTTTACATGGAGAAATTGAGATAGTTGAGCTTTTGGGTTAGCATGAAATGAGTGCAGTGCCGTATTCTAGACACTGTGTTACATGCAGTGTCTGTACAAGACTCAAATACTCTGAATACAGTCTGAATGCTGCCTGTGTCTTTTTTCAAGGAGATTCTAGGTCACCTTCAATTCCTTCATACTGTCAAAAAGCATGCAGAATATTTTTAAAAATTGCCCGAGTTAGATCTCTGACTCTGTATACAGTTAGTATTCAAGCAAAATTATTGATTAGAGAAGAAAATAGAAATATCATACTCTTATGTACAACCCCTGACTCCTGGCTACAGTGTTTCCATACTTTATTGCAAGTCTGGCACAGTTTTGGGGAGTGCTTGTTTGCTTTCTCTTTTGTTTAAGGAAAAATAACACTATATGCTAGTGAGCAGAATTAGACTTTACTAATTTTGAAAGTGGGGATGGGGAGGAGCCTACAAAGCAGCCCGCAAACTCTCTGCTTTGGCATGGTGGGCTGATGTGTGATTTTTGAGAAGCTGACGGTTCTGTGGCAGAGCTGTTGTGCCAAAGGTTTTGGACCACAGAGTTGTCAGAAATGAGACCACAGAAATTCTGCAAACTTGACAGAAAAAAGCTTGAGGTACCTGAAGCACAATAGTGGCATGGCCAGCATAAGGGTTAATTGAGTTAATTGATTTCTGGCCTTGGCACTTGGGAATCCTCTATCCAAGAACAGAAGACCTCTCTTGAAAAGTGTCAACTTATGATGAAGCCTTAACATTATCTACAGAAATTACATTGAAAAGTTAGAGGGTACAGAATTAAGTGCAAAATAAATACCTTCAAAACAACTGAAAATATTAGGTTTTAAATAAACTGAGTAGTACTTTTCTCCAGCAGTGAAGCTGATCTTAGTATTTGTCATAAAATCTGTTCAGAGGATTGTCAGTTAGCTTTCGTTATGCATTTAGGTGTAGGTTTGGCTAAAGGTCTTTTCATGAGCATGGCTGCTTTTGCAAAACTGGTTTACTGAATCAGCTGTTGACATTGAAGCTGCTGGGAAAGGTTGGGTGATGAGTTTGTTTGGATCCCTTGTGGTCCTTCATACTTTTGTCTCTATGACTGAGGAGAGCTGGGCTTTCAGCACCAATCTCCAGAGCCAATTTCAGACGTAGTTGTGCGTTGCCTTGTGATACAGCTCTAATGGCAGTCCTCACTGATTTCTATCTGGAGGATGGCTGATCATGTTACTTACACAGAGTTGGGGAAAAAAAAAGGTCTGCTTTTTATTTCTTCTTCTTTGATTAACACGGTGGACAAGTCTTAAGATATAAAGAAAACCTATTCAGAAATTTTCATTTGAAACCTAATGTATGCTGCACTGAGATAGATAAGTAAAATCAATTTTAGGTACTCTAAGCTATCATCAGAGGATCATTAATTGTTTCAGTTATGTCAATATGAAGCTCCTTTACCATAAGCACTGATCTGCCACCCACCTGCCGAAGAACTGGTCTTATACTGAAAACTGCAGAGCTCTTGTTAATGCTTCTGTTTATCCCAGTTGTTTAGGACAGTCACTGAGTGACTGAGTAATGATGAAAACACAAAGCTGTTGTTTTAAAAAACACTGATGATGTCTAATGTTGCACCCCAGTGGTTCCACTGACTTCAGTGGGACTCCACCCATGAGCAAAATCCACAACAGGCTTCAGGACTGTGAGTCTTCTGGGTTTAGTTTGGCATCAGTTGTTTATGCTAGGTCAAATGATGTGGCTCTGGTCACTCCATTTTCCTTTTCTCTTTTCTGTTAGCAAACAGTAATTCCAAACAATAGTTAACAATTGTCAAGCCGTGAGTCAAATAAATCGTGAGCTGTGGAAGTCGTGGAATCTATGGCTACAATGGCAAAGACACATTTTTTTCTGTGGTATGTATCATACCATCTTGTTCTTTTTTGCAGCATTGCACTTGCAAGATCACCGCTGAACAAGGATTTTCGTGATCATGCTGAGCAGCAGCACATCGCAGCACAGCAGAAGGCTGCACTGCAGGTAAGGTGATACAGTCAGGTAGAGTTTAGCTTGGCTCTATTTTAGATGTGCATCCCTTCAGAGAGCAGTCCTGCACCTAGAGAGAATGAAAAACCCCTTTTAGAGGTTAGGTTTCATACATTTCTATATTTGTCACAAATGAAGTTCCTTCTGAACATGAGCCAGCAGTGTGCCCAGGTGGCCAAGAAGGCCAACATGGATCAGGAACAGTGTGGCCAGCAGGAGCAGGGACGTGATTGTGCCCCTGTACTCGGCACTGGTGAGGCTGCACCTGGAATACTGTGTCCAGTTTTGGGCCCCTCAATACAAGAAAGACATTGAGGTGCTGGAGCGTGTTCAGAGAAGGGCAGCGAAGCTGGTGAAGGGTCTGGAGCACAGGCCTTATGAGGAGCGGCTCAGGGAACTGGGGTTGTTTAGCCTGGAGAAGAGGAGGCTGAGGGGAGACCTTATCGCTCTCTACAACTACCTGATGGGAGGTTGTAGTGAGGTGGGTGTTGGTCTCTTCTCCCAAGCAGCTAGCGATAGGACGAGAGCAAATGGGCTCAAGCTGCGCCAGGGGAGATTTAGATTGGAAATTAGGAAAAATTCTTCACGGAAAGGGTGGTCAAGCATTGGAACAGGCTGCCCAGAGAGGTGGTGGAGTCACCATCCCTGGAAGTGTTCAAAAACCAGGTAGATGTGGCACTTTGGGACATGCTTTAGTGGACATGGTGGTGTTGGGTTGATGGTTAGACTGATGACCTTAGAGGTCCTTTCCAATCTTAATGATTCCTAGTTTTTACTTTCATTATAAATGATCCAGCCACCAAGCCAGGAGGTGTGGGGTTGCTACTCTGCCCTTAATTCGTTTAGTGGTGCTTGGTAATGTTAGGTTAATGGTTGGACTGGATGATCTTAAATGTCTTTTCCAACCTAAACGATTCTATGACTCTTCTGTTACAATGAAAGCTTAAATATATCGGCTCATTCTCCCTCAGTATGGTTGTAAGAATGTAGCCTACAGTATCATCATAGCTGTTTTGTACATTTCAGTCAAGAGTCAGTTTCATCATACTTCTGAATGTCTCATGAAGTGTAGGGAGAACTAGCCACAGGGCTTTCCTTGGTTGAATCTGAGTAGATGCCAAGTAAATATCCTGCACTTATGAGTGACAGGGGTGAAAGGTTTGGAAAATTTATTTGTACATTTATAGGCTTCTATTTGCTGCAATTTTGCTCATGTCAGTTGAGGTTGATTTTGGTGTTGACATTGGGAATTGAGCAGGAAAGCTAGTACATGGACACCTGCCTTCCTGGCACTCTAGGCAGCATGACTTGGCAGAGAGCACAGGAAAGGGAAAAATGTTGAAATGCAAACTAGCAACTCTGTTCATGTATCCTATACCTTGTTGTGTTTCTGTTACCCAGTAAAGGCCCCAGATTGCTTCTCCTAAAATGAATGGGAGCAGAAATGAGCTCTGGCGGGGGTCTTGTGTTTATCACAGAACATTGTAGGCTGGAAGGATCCTCTGGAGGCTTCTAGTCCAGTGCCCTGCTCAGAGAATGACTAGCAGCAGTGCTGTATCCCATTGTTCAGGGTATGGTCCAATCAAGTTTTGAAGCTCTCCAGGGATGCACTTCCCACAGCCTTTCTTGGCTCTGAGTCTGGCTCTGTCTTCTCTATATTCTGTCACTGGGTATCTGAAAACAGCATAAGATCTTCCCTCAGCTTTTTCTTCTTACAAGAAGCTCAGTCCTCTCACCATCCCTTTGGATGCTGAGAGCTCCATCTCAGCACCCCGCCATCTCTTTGGGTCTCTGTTGGACTCCCTCCAGTTTGTATCTCCAACCAAACACAATATCACAAATGCAGCCTCATGGGTAGTTTGCCTTGGCCTGCTGGCTGTGGTGTTGCTGCTGCAGCCCACTGTGCTGGTAGCCTTTATCACTGCAAGGGCACACTGCTGGCTCAGGCTAAGTTTGATATCCACTAGGGCTTTTCCCTAGTGGTGGAAGGAAGGGATATGCAGGCCATCTAGCTTACTGCAGTCCAGTCTTTGAACTGGGAGGGGCTACATACGATTTTACAAAGGTTGTCCAGAGCCCTAAGCAGCAGCTGCCCTCCTCAGGTGAACAAACATATATACATCACATGAGCAGAAGGCTGGTGTCCCATGTCAAACAGGAGTGTGTCTGGTCACATCTTATTTGTACATGCAGGCTCGGGTCGTGTGACACTACTGATGCACACTTCCGGCAGTCATGTGTGGCAGCTGTCACATACCAAGACCTGTAAGTTGCTTATAGATGGGCATGGAAGCATGGGGTCTAGGCAGAGGAGAGTGGTCAGGAGTTCATTACCACTCGCCTCATCTCCATGGGATTTGCTGAAAAAGGAGCAGCAGGGCATGGCTAAGTTAATTCCCTTGATGGACCCTGTTCAGATGCAGCTGATTTAAAATGGTGGTTTTGAATTTGACTATTGACTATCAGAGTTGAGGAGCAGACTGGGAAAAATAAATAATTAATGCTGCAGAAGCTGTAAAATCTTGAATTATATCAGTACTGCGGGGAGTTATGCTTTAACAAATGTTTTTCTCTTTCCAGCACGCACACGCACATTCCTCAGGATACTTCATAACTCAAGACTCTGCATTTGGAAATCTTATTCTTCCTGTCTTACCTCGACTTGAGGCAGAATGAGGAATGTTGTTTCTTAGAACTGCAAGGTCTGATTTTTGTCCATAGCAGGAACTGTCTGACCTTTTAATTTCTTTACTTGTCTTAAAACTTTTTCCTGGGTTTTTGTGGTTGCCTTTTGGGAGTGTGAGCTGTAACAATGAAAAAGCAATGTTGTTGCACAGTGATTTTTATCCTGTATTTCTGTTCCTTTGTCAGGTCAAAGTCAGACGTAAGACTTCCTTGGTGTGTGAAGTGCATAGCGCTTGCTCTTCCCTGTTTCTGTGCTTCCTTTCAATAAATGTCCAAACCAGGGTCATCAAGAGATGCACACTCTGTCAGCATTTGTGTCTCTTATTATTGTGTACAGGTACTATATTTGACTTTAATGAAAGGCAGAAGTTACTTTGGTCCATCAAAACAGACATGAATTTATCAAATGCATCAGTCAGTCCTTTTTTTGGTTTTGTTTTTTTTTCTCTGTATGCAGGAACACTGCTAGTGTACTGTTTGCTGTTGTAGTATCATCTGGTCTCAAGTCCTTAGAGTGTGCCTGCCTCTTATTTTGTTTTGTGAAACATGAAAATGAATTAAAGTGGGGAAAAAGGAATTGTTTTAAATGGTCTTTTAACAGACAAAATAAAAGAAGTCTTTTAACTTCTCTGGACATTTCAGATGGAAGGTGTTGTCTGCAAGGGCAATTCAGTTTGAAAAGACATATTTTTCTAGTTATACGTTTTTCAATACTTAGTGTGTTTCATTTGGTTTGCTTTTTTCCTTCCTGGTTTTATCTGTGGTAACCAGTTCCAACTCCATGCTGAAAGGAAATCTGTTGATCTTAAGGTAAGTTATTTTGGAATTGTGATCATGCTACCAGGATAAAGTAACTTAGAGTGAAAAATAGTCCTTGCATAGATGTTCTTATATCTCCACAGCTTTACTGATAAAATTATACTAGTACATTGATTGCTTTACCTATGGAGGCAAGTTTTAGAAAATAAAAAACCGAGAACTTAAGTGAGAACCAGAAATCAGAAAGCATCTGTTAAATTGGTGCCCGTTTGAAGCAGCTCTGTCCTTTGCAGAAACTTAGCTGTCCCATTGGGTTTCCAGGGTTGTAGTCTACAGATTTCTTCGGTGATGTTAGGGTATCCTGTTTCCATCTGCAGGGGATTGCCTAAACCCAGTAAGCATTACTGAACTGGAAGCACTGTTAACAGTTCCATTCCTCTTGAGTAAGAAAACAGAGCAAGGGCCAAGAAATCGGTGCAGGTATGAGGAAAATGCCACTGCTTTCATACACCTCAGCTGAGTACAGACCCTTGCAGCAGCTGTGAAACATATTCAAGAAGGAGAATCTTGTGGAGGAGGCGTGATAGAGCTTAAAGATGTGCAGTTGTAACATGCCCTATTCATATAGTGTGCTTTTTGAGGGGTCTGATATTGTGAGTCATGGGAACAACAATGGGTTTTGTGGACAGTGGAGAAGGAAGTACTGTAATTTCTGGTTTCTGTGGTTGGCTCTGAGTAGCTTTTTCATTTTAATTATCAAGAGTAACTTCACCATGAAGCTGTCCTAACTACTCATTATTCTGCAGTGTGAGCTGAGTATCTTAGATGCTTTGAAGAAAAAGATGTGCAAATCTATGTGTGTAGAAGAGGCAGCTATGAATCGGTCCAAGCTTGGAAACATACAAAGGCAAAGAAGGTAAAGCAGATAGAGCAGGAAGTTTGTATTTTAGTTTTTAGTTGAATTTAAAAAGTAAGCTGGGCACTTTAAAGGAGCTTTTTTCCTTCCCTTGAGAAAAGTGGCAAAAGAATGTCTGCTTTCTGTAGAAACAGACCCTCTATGCTAACAAATTGAACTATAGAATCTCTCAGTGTTGCTGTGCCGACTGCATATGATCCAGGCAATGAAACAGTAAAGATCCTTCTCCTTTGGAAAGCTATAGTTGCTCCACTGAAGGAGTTAAACTTGCTGGCTGTATTGTTTTCGTCTCAGGTATCAAAAGATCTGCTTTTGGAAATCCAGGGCCTGGGCTCAAAGATGGAGGTATTCGAAAGAGGGGAAAAATTGACACAGCTGTTGTAATATTTTTAAGTTATAATGCCTCAAATTATTCTGTGTAATCATGAGGGACTTGATGATATATGTAGATATAATTAACTGTCAAAAGATACAAATGTTGTATATGGAAGCTTCTATCGTAGAAACCACAGTCTCTAGCAATTAGTGTCAGATGCATCAATTTGTCTTGCCACTCTTACTTTTTCTTTTCTGCTATTAATCAGTAATAAAACCATTAATCTATCCCTGTGCAGTAATTTCAGCAAAATCTTTTCTCCTGTTGGAATTGCATGCTGAAATTCAAATCATTAGTTAGAATGTACCCGAACCAGGAAGTGTCTGGGATGTCTTGCTGCTGGCAGTAGCCATTAACTTGATCACATAAAAGCAGAAGGTTTGTAATCTAGTGCTGACCTGTGCACCTGATGTATCTTAACACACATAATCACTCAAGAGTAATTTTATCTCATTTGCTACAGTAGTAATCGGCCTTTCCACTCCAACACAGATGGTTGGTGTAGAGGCCATATTGGAGCTGGATGGTGGGGTGAGAGCAGGTCACGGTACTGGGTAGGTCTTACACTAAACAGATAAATGAGAGGTGCGATAGCACACAGTGAGGTCAGACTTTCTAAGTGATGGCAGAGTCATAATTTGTCAACAACAGATGAGGTAAGGAAGTCAAAGATCTTGAACTGAAGCACTGGAAGAACTGAACCATAGCTTCTTTTTTCTTAGCTCTGTGCTCTTTTTCTTCCACTACAAAAGTTTTCTCTCCACGCCCTTGTATTTCAAAGTCATTCACCATCTCCCCACCATTATAGGCTCTGGAGAATGCTCAGTTTTAACACAAGAAGCCTGACCTGTAGAACCACACGTGGTTTCCTCCTACTGCAGGGTTTTAGTCTCCATTTTTTCTTAGTATTTTCACTCTACTGATCTCTTAGAAGCACTGGTATGAAACTAATCAATAGTACCTGACATATTTGCCCTTTATGTCAGAACACAGACTACCCAATGAAACTCATTATTGGAAAGAAGTTACACCCCCTGATGTCACATGCCAGGAACTTCCTAGTTGCTTTCATGTGTTCAATCAGTTAAAATAGCTAAATGCTATTTCTGCCTTCAAGTGCAGTCAGCTCAGGACAAGCCAGCTGTAATTTGCAAGTCCTATGAACACATGTGGGTACCACTCTGTTAATGCTGAGGAGTCCTGTCTGAGGTAGACACTTTGGATGGCTTAAGTCTTTTAGATCACCTGTGTCACTTAAAGGCTGGAGGTCACTTATCATCTTGCTGCACAGCAGAGAGGTCAGTGCTCTGACCCTAACCTTGTAGAAATGAATGAAGAGGCCAGGCTTTTCCCATCTTCTTTAGAAAGGAGAGGAAGTTACCAATTATCAACCAGGTATCAGGGAATGTGAGCTTGAACTGGTGGAAGGAAATGCAGACAACTGTGTATTGGAGTGCATGACTTTATGGCTTGACTTATTGTTGCATTTGCAGTGTTTCAGGGACAGAGCAACAAGGGCTGAAGGAGGGCAATGAGCCTAGAATAGTGCAGCATGCGGTCACAGATGTGCAAGCAGCGCATCACAGACTATCTCAGCGCATCCTCTTAAGCATCATGATAGTTAAAACAGGGCTCAGTGTATTCACCAGGAAGAAGCATTGCTAAGAATAGCTGTCTTATGCAGGTGATGTTCTTTCACCCTGTGTCTGCTTAAACTTATATTCAGAATCAGGAGATTTGAGAAAGCAGCTGGATGATTCCTGTTGGTCAAAATTATGGCACTGATGATTCCTCCTGTCACACCAGCTCAAATAGCAAGTTTTCTTGAAGGCTAAGGTCAGTGCACTGTGCTCCAGACTTCTGCTGAAACCGAAGCCGATTGCCATGACCTAGGCGACAGATGGTAACCAAAAAGATACATGAATCCTAAGGGAAAAGCTAAGAGGAGGCATCTCTCTGCTTGGTGGTTTGTGTGCACAGGTGCCTCTGAAGGAGGAGGTGGAGAGAGAGGGAAAGATTGTCTGCACCCAACTGGAAGAGTCTTCCCATCCAGAGCTTTATGTGCCTGATTTATGTTTTGCTAACACACAGGGAAAATCCTATAGCATCTGCTAGTAACACCCTTGTGTCTGGGAAGTCTGGTAATCAGTGTGTTCTGAAACACTTTTGGAGGCTGTAGGGAATTCTTGGGCTAAAATACACAGTACGGAGCTTTCTGAAGTGAACAGTAACTTTGAAGACAAGTGGGTGAAGTGGATTTCACATGCTGTTGGGTTAAAAGCCTGCTCTAATGAGTTTCTGCATTTGTTGGAACCACAGAGCTTGCCCCAGACTTGTTACAACAAAGACAACACCTTCACCTTATTTCCTGGTTCTTGCTCTTGATAGAAGGAATCAAGTGACATACCTCCCCAGGGAAATTATTTTTACATTCCTTCCTTGAATACAGGTTTTTCAGAGAGGAAGAAAGCAGGTTAAATGACCTAAGTGGAGAAAATTTGATTAGTGCAGTGGGACATTATGAAAAGTGATACTTAACTACTCGTGAGGAAATGCCTCTTGTCTTCTCCTTAGTTACTCCACTTTGCCAGGTTTGTTCAGACACTGAATTCTGAAGGGTGGTGGCACAGTTCTCAACTTGTTCTCATTAAGACCTCTAATCTGGATACTTTACTGTCAGTGGATGCTACTTTTGGCATGTGGGTTTTTTAGATTGTGGGCTGGAAGTTGTTCAAAATCTACCTTATTTTTGTCCCAAGAGTCGTACTGGTTCATTTAAAAGTGCGAATCACAAGCTTGCACACCAGCTTCACTATGCACATACGTTGCACTGTACATTCGTGTATGTGTATTATTGGTTGGTGGAGTGTGTGTTTCTTTCAGTAGGGAAACATGTCTCATTCTAAAAAAATATATGTAGATTTATGGACATTTTTATATCTTCAGAGGCTTTTTCAGTGCATTACCTGAATCCTCCCATGAGGCAAACTAAGTTACTGTTATCTTCAGTTTTGCAGATGGAGAAAAATGCAAAGGGTTTGCAATGCCTGCAGGTACACAGAAAACCTGTGGAGTTGTCCTGGATTAGCTCCTGCTTAGTGAGCCGCTGTGAGGCATCATCTGCCCCCCCCCAGCCGCTGGCTCATCTCCCCCCCGCAGAAGATGCTGAGCTCTCTGGTTCCTGGTTTGTCTTTGCTTTCATGGATAGCTCAGTGCTTGGGTTTGATTTGGGTTTTTTTTCAGATGGTGAAAAC